CCTTTTGTAATTTAGGGAGTATGAACCATGTCAATTTTTCGGCAGAGAAGCATCAGAATATAAGAGGCCACACAGACAATAGCCACACAACAAAACAAAGTAAAATAAACAAAAGTTAGGTCTTGTACATTTGTTTCTATTTTTTCATAAACTGTTGCAATGTTGTTTTTTGATTGCTCATTTTTAGATTCAGAGTTGTTTACGGAATCATGAATCTGACTGTAATTGTTAATACTTTTATAAAACTAGATACAATGAGAGTGCATTTTAAAATATTTCAGGAATGTTAAAAAAAATCTTTATAACAATGCAGCTTTGTTTACTACATTCAGACTCTATATTTAAGAAATGAATAACATTGCTCAAATTATTAAAATCAAATATCAAATTACAAAGAAATCTGAATGAGATTATCACCTAATTTAAATAAATAATATGGTATAACTGTACATTGCTGCAAAACAATAGAGATTTCAAGAATCTAGAGTGGTTTTAAAGTTGGAGATGGGAAAGTAAATTGAAACATAATGATATTTTTAAATGTCAGAATGTTTGAGCGTGAAAATCAATATTTGAAGCATGGCTAAAAAATGTCATTGTCAATGTAGAATCAAATTCTACTTGTTTTTGCAAACATATTAATTATGCGCTTTAATCACAGCCTTTTCTCACGGGCAAACATCAATAACATATTTTTTCAATATTCCATAAAAAATAAATAAATAAATAATAGGATATGTCCGCACATAAAAAGTACACTCACCAAAACATATTAATTATATTCATTCACAATGACATACAAACTCAATAATTCATGAATTGAAATCTTGAAATACACCGAGATGAAAAAAGTTGAATTAGTTGCTAAACTAGATATTAGTGGATAGTTAGTGATAGGCTACAAAGACAGGTGCTTTGAAGTAACATAATAACTAGTAATACCCTCAAGCTTTACATCTCAATCAATCAAGATTTATTAATACCAACATTTATCGAAAAAAAATTGACTACAAGTTGTAAATTATACCTGGGTTTAAAACAATTGGATAAAGAAATTTTAATGATTTGCATCTTGCTTATCTTTATCTTTTTATTCTTTCAATATCAAAAGTAATCTTTGATATGATGATTTTTTAAAAGGGAACCATTTCCTGAGCTAGTTGTCATGCATACTAGGAATTTAAAGAATGGATTTCAAATTTATTTTTCTTCCAGCTCAAAAGCAGGTGCCCAGTGTATCTATTGATCTACCTGTAAGAAATTCAATGTGGCAATTAAATTTAAAACCCAAAATATTGTTAAAAGTGAGAATTAGCAAGGACTAAAAGTTAACCAGCATGTAGCGAAGACTTTCAATTGTATAAAAATGTTCAAAAATGAATCACTTCATTCAAATTTTAGACAGAAATGCATGCAAAATACATGCAAGGGAGGAATTCTAGGTGAAGGTAGGACATATATGGTCAGTCATTTTATAAAACAATAGCTTTGGTTGAACAGGCACTTATAGAGGCCAGGTGTAGGTCAGACTTTCTGGTCATTACATGCCTTTTAAATTTCAGGACCCTTTTATCACCTAGCATTGTCAAAAGATTTAATTGAAATTATAAATGTTTAAACATTATTGTAAAATCACTTTGAAACTAATATGTTTCTCCTAAGAAAAGTAGTAAAAAGACATTGCCACATTCTGAATATCAAAATACCATAATGATCACACAATTAAGGAATTTTACAAAAAGCATATAATTGAAGAAAATATTTTAATAACATTTACTGTGGCATGTTTTCAACAGACAGACCAATAGACAACAGATTTTGAATCAAATGGTCAATATATCATGCTCTTTAGTAACTCAGTGGATTTGATGGATTATAACAAATAAATGGCTTTAAAATTGACCTTTACCCTTAAATGGTCATCAATGGTAGCAAGCATAATGTCAAATAGAGTGGAAAAGCAGGGTTCTGACTTCGAAAATAGCCAACAAAGATACCATTTCAATACTTGAAGTTGTTAATACAAACTACTGGCAAACCAGGTTGTCTATTCAATTTTTTATAGAAAACACCATTGCACATACATAATAAGGGCATCAATTAGAGTCATATTTTTAGAATGGATTATACCATTATCCCAAAAGAACAAATTTTGAAAATAATCCTGGGGACCATTTGGCAGAAATAACATGTTTTAACCCACAGTTGACCCCGTCACCTTTCTGAGACATCCTTTTATCATCTTCAAAACTCTACAGATTTCAAATGAAAAGAATGTAAATGAATGCTTTAATACGATTGATAGATTAATGTTAATGATTTGACTTGGTAAAGACATCCACTGTTGTGGTTAAAGGCCTCGGAAACGACAACCTGTTAGTTTCTAGCTTTTATGAGGCTTCAATGATTTTGAATTAAGTTCGAACAAATTAAAAGAAACGTTAATTACTTTACATATGAATATCCAGTTTTTTTTGTATTATCTGAAAATTAACTGTTGGCATAAATGTCAACTTAGTTACACCAATGTATTTTAATGTATGTTATTACAGAATATTAGAAAAAAAATCGTTCAAATCATGGTAATACACATTTCCCTCTAAAATGAGAACAATAAAATTTTCTGGCAATTCTAGCTAAGACTGTTGCATAGATGCATGTTTATCACTTTTCTTCCTAATTACTCTTTTTCACTATTTTATTTGAACGATTGAAAACATTATTTATGAGTAGAATAATTTATAATTGATCAGCTTTTCTTTTCAATGAAATGACTTTGAAAATCACATTCTTTAAAAAATTGGGCAACAAAATATCGACATTGCTTTCATCATTAAAATAATAGCATCTCAACCCAGCATGAAATATTCTTTGAAGTCATTTATATTTTACATTTATCATGCGACCCAACCATACTGATTATAAACAGAGTTGCATGTAGAGTGATAATAGCATTTAATTTTTTCTATTTTAATGAAAGTGCTCATGAAAGATGTGTAAACCCTGACTTTTGATCCAAAGCCAGACATTTGGTATGCATAAGCTTCATCATATTATTAAAAGCTTTGTGGTAGGGGCTCTTACATTACATCTGTCAGTAAAAATGCAATATACTTTAATGCATGCAAAATTCAAATATCTATTTTAAAATGGATTTCTATTGTCATCTCTATGTTTTGATTACTAAGAAAACAAGAGGGCTGAATAACATTTAATTGAGGACAATTGAATTTGTATTCTAACGATTTTTTACAACCTGATGTCACATCATTTTTTATGACAGATCAATGAATCTATATAAAGTTATAAATGATCACAATTATGTACTTATGTTTTTAAAAATCTAAACTTCATGTATTTTTTTTAAAACTACTGTTAAGATTTTTTACATTTCAGATTTTACACTTTTTCCCCAATTGAAAGGTGAACATTTTTAAGGGTTTTGGTATGGACAAGTGACATCTATAATGTTGCTTGTGTCAATTATATTTACTGCTTGTGCTGTGCATGTTGATTTAAGTGCCCTCTTTTTAATATTTATCAAATTAAAAGGATGCAGAAGAATTGGACATAAATCAGACATAAGTCTATTCTCATGCGCACAGGTTCTTTATCTACATACCATTTGAGCCTCGCAATATGAAAACTGGTCTTATCCCAAAAATTTAAATTGTGCTACAGAGACAGAAATGTGCTCAAGACTCAAAGGAAAATGTGCTAAATTCAAATTCGTCTTTTTGTCTATATCTGCAAGGATATATTGTTAAGACACAAGCTATGGCTCATTTGAAAGGTCTCTTGGTGCTTTTTCAGAAAATAAAAATCGAAATATTGAAAAAATCTGTGATAAGACCCCTTTTCCTGTGGCCCTGCTCATTTATTATCACAGATCTCATAATTACATTTCTTTGAAGTACATTTTCATCGTGCATAATTTTGAACTTCTAGAAATACCGCATAATTCATTCATCATTTTTGCATAATTTTGCACTTTTCTCAAGAATATCTCAACTGATGCTTCACTGCTTTATCATCTTCATAATTATTAGGTAAGTAATGCCTAAACTTGGAAATGGTGGTTCATATGATTGAATGATTTGTATTTTCCTCATATAATTTTGTGTGTTTTTGCAGCAAAATTTCAATTTTTTGCCTACATCATTCTAGGATCTGTGTATCATATAACAGGTCAGCTTTTTAAGAATCATCGTAAGCATCCCTGACATTTATATAATGCTTTAAGTACACCAAAGCCAAAGCCTTAAACTGAACCAAAGGAGAACTCAAATTGTACTAAGCTTTGATTTGCCACACATTGTTTGGATCATACATTGTGAATGAAGGACCAGTAGCTTGTCAGGTAAACCATCTCTTGTCTAAAAATATATTTCCTCGACTTTTACTAATTAACATCATTAACCTTTTTTTTGTAAACGTTATGGTGTAATAGGATAGTTTCTAAATAGCAGAAAAATCAATGAAATCTTGTGCTGCCTTCTTTTATTCAGCTTTTAACTCTGGCTAGAGCTCCATTCACTTACATGCTAAAATCTTGGAAAAGTGGCTTAATTTCATGATTTATCAAAGTGTGTTTGTTGAATCTGTATAAAACTTGAATGATATACCACATGATGACCCTGTTTATGAACATGTTGTGATTAAACATGCTAATGTTGATTGACATACAAATAATCCACGGTTTTAAAGAATTTTAGCATTGCATCTATGGACATTTGGCCCAACTTTTTTTAAATTGTCATAGAAAATTATTCAAATTACAGAACTGTGTAAATCAAAGCTATTTTAGGAGAAAACATTCCACTGAATTCAAATATACCATTTAAAAGAAGGTAATGTAAGTCATTAGAGGTCTAATATGCAAGTCTCTTAAAATCTCACGAAAAACGAGATTTAGCGAGATTTCAAAAGCTATATGGAAACTATACTATTGAGGAAAAAGGTTTTGAGGGACTGAGATTTTACAAAATAAAACTTCTTACCTGCTCAATGCTTGGGGAAGGCTAGATATAATAGGACCATATCCTGCAGAGTTGTCATAGAGTTCAAACAATGGAGCAGCAACTAGTTTATAATTTCTTGGTACTGCGAACAGTGCTGGAAATGCATGGATAATTTATAAATAATGGAGTATTGGCTGTGTAATCCAAAGAGCCATCTAGGTCCATCTAGATGGCGGATCTTGTAGCCAAGAAGTTGCAGGCTCAAGTTGTGTGTGAGCTCCCAGTTTAGTTTTGAATATAAAGTAAAACATTTGAAGGTTAAAGGCATTTCTACCTTACAATAAATATTTTCGAGAGGTTGAGTGAGCAAAAGAGGATTCATTTCTGAGAAAGTTGAGGGATAATTGAATAATGCCAAAAATGTGTCCTTAATATTATTTATGCTTTCTAAGAGAAGTTGAGTATGCTATGATCAATTGTGAGGAGCTGGGTCAGATATTGATGTTCCGTTTTAGGCAAGTAAATCGTTGGTTCTGTGGCAGAATAAAAACAGACAGCAATATTACTGAAATCTTCATTGGGAATTCAGTTTTCCAGATGTCATCCCAGTAACTCTGTGTAGATATTAATGACCATGGAGGTGGAGCTTTCATTATTTAAAATTAAAGTAAATTGTTCGTTTTTACCTTTTTCTGGGAGCTGTACCATGAACAACCGTTTGTGTTCTTTTGGTTTAGTGATGTGTGCAGGGACATATGGGTACTGAAATAGAAATCATAAAATAATACAAGTATTTTAGCATAAAAAAATATGACAGCAAAAAAGTCTTTTGTTCTATTTTGTGTATGGTACCACAATATGTCTTAGAAAATGGACAAAGTGGTCACGACTATTTTACAATTTAGAGTGCTACCTAAATGCCCATTAACTTTCATAATCCTTGAAGTTTCAATAAAAATTTGTTTCTGATAAAACATAACCAACAAGAAACAATATACATCTTATGAAATCAACTTATGCTTTCAGCCAAAACACATGACTTCTGTCAAAAGGTTTTTGATGGAAGTTTATGGTGTAAAGCTGTGAACATTTGGGGAAGGGGCAAAACCCCTTTTTATTGATGATAGTAGTGATATCTTGCATTCCTAGAGTTTATTAATGAATCAACAACAAATGGTTTATTTGAAGGGGAGGGTGGGAAATGAGTCAAATATGAAATCAATTAAGGGATCCTGTCAACATGTAGAAAATTATGAAGAATGAATCTTTAATTATGGTTTCAAAATCCTTCTACCCATTAATCAAAAATTTGAAGATTCATTTGCCGTTACATCCAAGGGCCAAAATCAAAATTTTACACAAACAAAAATTGTTAATTACCCCCTTCCCCATTCCCCCCGATGAACTTCTTCCAAAACTGTTAATGTTTTGACACCACCCCTATTTTTTTTAGCGATGTTGTTTATTTTTTATTTATTCATTTTTTATTTCAAACGCAAGAAACAGATTTACATAAGTTGGTGTTGATTTATTGGTTAGATCCCATCATATGATAAAGTCTTACCTGAGGGGGCTCAAAGTTTGCTCGCCACCAGTTGCCAATTATACAGGTCTCCTCAACAAGCCAGTCCATAGGGGCACCATCTTGTCTACCTAGGGTCTAAAATAAGAATTAGTAATGAATAAATGGTGGGTGAACCAGGAGGAAACCTTATATCCTGGTCTTAGGTGTATAATAAGTTAATATTCTAGAAATTCAATGAAATTGTTGTTTCCACAATTGCCAGTTTGAAATAAAGATAAATATATCCATATGTTGTGATGAATCAAAAAAGACACTCAGTGATAACTATCACACAGTGAAAAACTTACATGCTGTAACATATATGCACCTAATAAACAAGGTGATAAAATCCAATTCTTTAAAAGAGTTCAACAGCAGCTTTTAAATATAAACATGAATGAAACAAATTTTGTTTTTTGCGGTGATTTTAATTGCTGCATTGACTCCAAGGATAATTTAGATGGTATGGCTCACCATAAATCTGAAACTGATTCTTTTAATGAGATGATATATTCGACTGATGTAATCGATACCTGGAGGTTACATCATCCAGATCAAAATGATTTTACATGGAGGCACAAGTCTCAAAACATTGTCCGAAGAATTGATTATGTATTTACAAATAATAAAGCCTTTGGAAATGTATTATCAATTGAGTTATTTGATATGCCAGGGTCAGATCATAGAGGAATTTCAATGAACTTTTCAACTGATGTAAATGAGAAAGGTCCATTTTATTGGAAATTTAATAACAGCCTTTTAACCAATATAGAATTTGTTAATCAAATGAATGATATTCTCATACATGAAAAACAGAATCTCAATAATCTCAATCCCCAAGTTTTATGGGACTATTGTAAAACCAAAATAAAAGATTTTTCTATATGTTATGGTAAATTGTTAGCCAGTAAAAGACATAATGATTTGAAAATAGCCAAGCTAAATCTGAAAAAGTGTAGTGATTTATTGGCCAATGATCCAGAAAATGTTGATCTGAGAAAAAGGGTTAATAATCATAAACTTTGTTATGAAATAGCAGCCACATGTGAAGCCAAGGGTGCTCAATTGAGATCCAAGGTTGACTGGTGTGAAAAGGGGGAAAAAAACACAAAGTATTTTTTATCATTAGAAAAGGCCAGAGCAAATAATAAATGTATTAACTCCATAAAGCTGGCAAATGGTGAGGTAGTGAAAAAGCAAGAACTAATTATAGATGAAATAAACAGATATTATAATGACTTGTATTCTAAAAAAGTAATTTTTAGACCTGTTCTATTAGATGATTTCTTACAAAATGTACATATACCTAAATTGACTGAAGAGCAGAGTCAACTTTGTGAGGGGGATATAAGTTATAATGAATGTTTAACAGCACTTAGGTCAATGAAGAATGATGCTAGTCCTGGACTAGATGGAATCTCTGCTGCATTTTACAAGGTATTTTTCATGAAAATTGGCACAGTTTTAGTACATGCATTGAATACAGCTTTTGTTAAAGGTGAAATGTCGTGTTCTCAAAGAAAGGGTTTAATGGTGCTCATACCTAAAAAGAGTTTGGCTAAAAATGAATTAAAAAATTGGAGACCATTAACGCTTACGAATGCAGATTACAAAATAGCTGCAAAGGTAATTGCTCTTAGGATAAAACATGTTATTAAGCATATTGTACATGATGATCAATGTGGCTCCATTCAGTCACGTAGTGCGGCTCAGATTTTAAGAGCCATAGATGATGTTATGATTTATCTTGATACAAATAAGCTACAAGGGATTATGCTAGGAATTGATTACACGAAAGCGTATGATTCAATTTCTAAGGAATTTATGATGTATTCGTTAAAATGTTTTGGATTTGGCCCAAGTTTAAGAAAATGGGTAGATGTTTTAAACAAAAAAAGTCACAATCACATTCTTCACAATGGGTGGATAACTGGTGACGTCAAGCTAGAGAGGGGTATTCGTCAAGGCTGTCCACTTTCTCCCCTATTATTTATTATATCATGTGAATTATTACCTTGTAAAATACGCTCTGACCTTAACATTCAGGGTATTAAAATGCCAGGATGTGAGGAAGAATTAAAGATATTACAATATGCAGATGATGCAACATTATTCCTTAACAGTTCGGAGTCTTTACAGAGATCTTTATCGGTACTGGAGACTTTCTATGAAATGTCAGGTCTTAAGATTAATATGAGTAAAACTGAAGCCTTGTGGTTGGGTATATGGAAGAACAGAAACGACACTGTTGGAAATGTTAAATGGAAGCTTTTCCCAGATAATTGTATAAAAATTTTAGGTATTGTTTTTAGCACATCCATTAATGTTGTAAATAACAATGAAAACATAGACTCAATATTTAGTAGGTGTCAAAAAATAATGAAATCATGGTCTGGTAGATATGTATCAATCATAGGCAAAGTAGTGCTAGCCAAATCATTATTGTTATCACAGTTTGCATATATAATGCAAGCCTTTATTTTGCCAGAAAATATTTTAAATAGAATCAACACTATGATTTTTAAATTTTTATGGTCAAAGGGTAAGTTCAAAGAGGATGAATTAAAAAGGTGTCCTGATAAGGTTAAGCGTGATGTAATGGTTCAAGATTATAAAAATGGAGGGCTTAAGATGATTGACTGTAAAGATATGCAAAAAGCATTTTCTATCTTATGGATTAAAAAACTCCAAAACCCAACTAATGGGCACTGGAAATGCATTCCTAGATATATGTACAACACAATGGGTAAGAACCTAAGTGTTTTTAACAGTTACATTTCAAGTGTTGAGTTAAAAGGATGTGAAATTCTAAACTCATTCTACAAAACAATATTGACAACATGGTTAAATCACAGTGAGTACAGTGATCCAAATATATTATGGAACAACAAAGATATAACTTGGAACAGATCTCCACTATGTTTTTCAAATTGGATAAAAAATGGTGTTATATATATAAATGATATTATTTTAAACAACAGATTAATGACATATGAAGAACTTGCTCAAAAAGTAGGAAGAAATGGTCAAACACTTTTACAATTTAACATGTTGAAAGCATGTCTAAGGCAAGATAAAATTACTTCTAGAGTACAGTGCAATGGTACTTTATATTTTAAAGACACAGATTTAAAAAATTTGACTTCAAAGAACATCAGGGAGAAGTTAGTCTTAGCAAGAAAATGTGATGTAATTCTTAATGGAAATATTTTAACACAAGATATATGGTGTGAGATGTTTAAATGTACTAAAGACACTTCTTTATTGATTATGCAGTGGAAGATACTCCAAAATATACATGCAAATGGTGTTTATCTTAAGAAGTGTAACATAGAGCAAAATGACAAATGTAAATTTTGTAGTGCTAGAGATGACTCAATGCATTATTTTGTGAAGTGTCCAGTCATTAAAATCTTATGGGCCAAGTTGAATTTAGATGAAAATCAAAAACTTGGTATATCTCAAGTAGAAAAAAATGTATTATATGAATGCCTGTTAATCAAAAAAGTCATACATGACTTCAAAGTATCCAATGGAGAAGGTAACCTAACATTAATGTTAGAAAAGGAAAAACTTGTAAGAACTGTGTAGAAATAATTTTACTTCTTATTGTCTATACTGAATGAATAGCAGCTCAAAGAGCTCATTGTAATATTTTTGTAAATTTTTCTGTTTTTGTATATAAGTTAAGTCTAATAAATTTTAATTAAAAAAAAAACACAAAAACTATCACACTTTGAAGAGCAAATGGCCTGCTAGGTAATAAACCCAGCATACACAAAACCTAATCAGATTTTGGCACTAGCCTACTCTTACATCTGTAAAAAGCTCAAGTGGAATGGAAAAGTGGTTTTCCGGAACTTTTGACAACAACATTCATGTTGTGCCCATCCATCCTCCCAAAAACAGAATGACGACAATATAACACTTTTTAAAGTGTGATTAAAGGATATTCAGTATTGAGTAATATAAAATGTGATCCTTACCTCTGTTAGTAATCTCTTTAGACCATCAACTTCAGTCTCACCTTGGTTCACTTCACCTCCAGGCCTAGAAGCAGACAATGACAGTCAAGTAAGTCATTTGACAGTATTTTTGGCATATAGATTTTTAAATATAGCCATTTGTTATAGCACCTGGATTGACTGCTGACTGCAGTATCTAAGTATGCTGAAGCTGATTAATTACTAATAACTATTGTATATTTAGAGACAACATAAAGCAATATTTGAATTCATACAATCTCCCATCCCTGTTTTGAACAAATTAATAAAATTAAAAATTGAAATTCTGATGTGCCCATATATGAACAGAAACCCTCTAAAAATTCAAGTTCATCCATCAAGACAAGTACTTATTTTGAAAAAGGTAAAGCCAGATAGAATATAAAGGAAGAGTATACTTACAATTTGAAGAAAGTAGTTCCCAGTTGGAGGAGTAATACATGAGGCAAGCCATGTTCGTGAACAATTAGGACTCCTTCGACTGATCTCCTCATACCAATCTTAGCGAATTCTTCACGCATTCTAGAGAATCTGGCCTCAACTGACTTGTCCCTTTCATAGAGTGGTTCTTTTGTACCAAATGTGTAATTTGTAAGAGGGTATCTAAATCAAATATGAGTACAGTGTTTTAAATTTCAATGTTTTTCATCAAACAATATATTATATACAATGACAATTTTCATGATTGTTTTTAAGCTGGACTTATACTGTTCATCTAATGAAGATGGTGAATGCAAAATTTTGTGTAATACTTAAATATATCAAACTCAAAAAGAAAATGGATGCATTTTGGGTTTGAATATATTTTCACATTAAGACGAAATGTTGGACATTTTCCCGCTTAATTGCTTAGGTGAGACAGATTTTGCAAGATTATTAAGGAAAGGTTTAATTCAGATGGTACATTAATATCATTGCTCTTTCAGCATTAAAGCAAGTGGGTGCTGCATCCACTTGACATTTTAAAAATAGGCTTGCACCCACATGAGAATCCATTTGCACCCAATTAAAAATGAGAAAAATCATGAAAAATTTGTGAAAAATTTAGAATTTTGCACCCACTTGAGACAAAATCCTGGGGAGAACACTGAATATTGAGGTATGTCACTTCACTGGGACAATTTGTGCAAATACTTTCAATGGTTAGAATAGCTGATAGCCACCTAAAAGCTGCTAGATAATCATGATGGCCGAAACTGAAATCAGCTGCTTAATACTTTTAATACATCTAAAAATGTTCCCTCACAATCATCTATTTACCACGCGGTACTTAAATTTTGACCATTAATTTGAATTTTTGACCTTCAAGATGTTTGAAAATCAAGGATTGCGAGTCTCATACTGCACTGTTTTTCTTCAAACTTGTTCCATTCAAAGCATAATAAAAATGCCTTTCTGTTGGTACATTTTTCTGTTATACAGAGTCCCTACTTCCAGCGGCATTTAAATCCCCAGCTGTGAGAAGGACTGAAAAGGGCTGAGAAGCTGTGAAGAGCTTCTCACAGCTGGGGACCAAAACGCTGCTCAAATGAGGGACTCTGTATAATAAAGCAATGCACCAACAGAAAGGCAATTTTGTTTTGATTTGAATGAAACAAGTTTGAAGAAAAACAATTGTAGTGTGAGACTGCACACATTTCAAACATCTGGTAGGTCAAAAATTCAAATTAATAGTTGAAGTTAGTACCGCATGATTTACGAAAGTCTACAAGTTATGAGCTACTTCTGTCTCGCCTTTGTCCCAGCATGGACATTTTCTAGTGAATAATCAAAATGGCGATTTTGACAGAAATTTACGTAGTAGCATTTGAAATCTTCGGTGATTTCAGTAATGGAAGTTCACCAATTTTTCAAGTACAATCAATCTTATGAAAGTTTGAATGCTAAAACGCGACTTAGTGATTTTCCTTCAAAACAGCTATTTTGATTTCTAACTTGAAAATGTCTACTCGGGGAAAAAGCCAAGTCCTGATTGACACAGAAGCTGCTGATAACTTTCGTAAAAGGATATTTATTTCAAATTTTCAGAGCGTAAAGATAATGGAGTGCTTCGGTAATTTCCGGCAGTGTCCGATGTTGTTCGTCTCTCAAATTACGTCACATTGCAACAAACAGCCAATGAAAGTAAAGGATCGCCTAGCCTAACAAATCGTTGTTATTGTTTCGACAGCAGTCTAAAAAAACGTCATGGGACTTCTCGGTAATCTCTGATGTGACGTCATCCAGAGTGGCATCACATTCTCAGAAAAGGCATTTGACTTCGGGAATAAACATTTGAACAACAGAGATAGCTGAAGCGCTCCATTAAATATATGCTCGCTTATTTTATGCTTTTATCAACAGATGCTTTCTTAAATGTGTGGCTTTAGTGATTGGAGTTGAAGCTAAAAATAATATGCATCGTTTGAGGTATGACATGTGATATTTATTGATAAACTGACTCCAAAATCAAGGAAAAAAAATTCCGAAGATCTTGTGTCTTGTCCTTGAGTATATTTATTGAGCTTAGACACAGAGCAGGTAATCTGGCAGAGGTCCGTGATCACGATAATCTAGCATCCTTTAGGTGGCGATCAGTGGCTAATCTAAGCTTTATTAGCCTTTGTAAGAGGTGAATCTTGTCAATTGTTCACAAGGATAACAACAACATCTTCTATTTATTTGTACTAAGGATAAACTACTTGACTGCAATACCTCATAGCTCATTTCAATGTGCTAAACGCGATAGATTCTGACGGCACGCCTATTGCAAGGCCATGTAAAATTTCACCACAGATGTTGGCCAGATCGTTTTGTAGTAGGATCTCATAGGCTCAAAGAATAATACAGAAGATGCGTCACTCAATTAGAAAATTTAAAAAAAAAGTGACCACCTTTCAAAACATTCCTTATAAAAAATGGTACCTGCTTCCTCGTGACTGATTTTGTACTTGATTTGTAGCTGAGATCTTCACCTTGATTGGTTCAAGTAAATAACCTATGGATGCAGTGATTTGACTTTTAATACGGCAAATATTTTTCACTAGATCCGGACTCTTGTGTGTCCAAATATCATTGTACTGATGACGTCACATTTCTGGAACCACGGGAGCTCCATTTAGATTTGGACAGACAAGAGTCCGGCGATAAAATATCACTGTTTTGGCCTCTTAACAACGCAGTATTGCTTGAATAACGGAGATGGAATAACGGTCATTGGTGATAAAAAGGTTAGAGAATAACGCTTCAAATCAGGTATAATTTGTCTCATATTTTTCAGAAATGGCTACACAATCGTCATTTTAAAATTTGAAATTTTCTGAGGTGTCTCATCTTGAGGAATAATTATTGAGCTACTGATTCTACTACAAAAGAATCTGGCCGGGATCTATGAATTTCACTGAAAAAATCGTGGAAAAAACAAAAAATAACAAAAACACAATTTTCATAGTTATTTTTCTCTTTGGTCATTGCATATTATGCATCAATAATACACTTGCATATTCCTTATAAATATACTTACAAATTTATAGGCTTATTGGGAATGTTTTCGCTAGTGAACGTCTGATTTTTGAAGTTTGATTGAGGCCACCCGGCCTTTTGCCGCATTGAGTGGTTCATCGCCATCTTTATTGCGCATGCGCATATAGGTACTTCCTCTTTTATCAAAACAATATTTCAGTATCTACACTCGCAATTAAAACCACATTTTCATGAAGAAACAATAGTTTTGCCATCAAGCACTATTCATCAGTGACAAAATGATGTCCCTAGCATCATCTGGTCGTATCGGGAGACAATACTTCTACCGCACTGTGAAGATTTTGACAGCTGAATCCAATGGACAAAAATTGCAAGTTCAGGGTTATGCAAGTGACAATGGCAAATCAGACACAGCTGAACCCAATGGATTTCAAGCTGCATCTAATGGCACAGGTTTCGATTTAAGCAGTTCAAAATCCTTTGATCAAGCATACTCAGAGCATGGCAACATTTCGCAGCCTATAAATCTTTCATGTTCGGCACCATCTCTTGAAGGACACCAAGCCAATGAACACGAGTTTTCCCCTTCACATCAACAGGATATTTTGAATAACTCGAATCGTGTTACTTTAAATACAGAGATCAATGATATGACACCAGGTGTAGCAGGAGGGGATCAAAGTGGACAGCAGCAAAATAGTGACAATCATGTTCCGTTATATGATAGCAAGACATATGTCAGCCTCTATGGAGTTATGCAAAGCAATGTCCCGGAACCGTATCAACCTCCTGAAACTTCAAACCAGGCAGAAACGCATGGTCATGGTGAATCACATCTCCAAATGCCAAGTGGAGGTGTTGTCATGGGGGATAAATTCATGTCCAGCCATCGTATGGACACTCACGCAACCACTCATATTACTAATCCTAAACGAAAATTTTCCTCATCTGTCGCTCACAGATCTGCCATCACTACCCATGATACATTAGAAATGCAAGTTGATAGCCCACAAGGAATACAAGGTGAAGACGATGTTAGATTCAAGATTTGGATGGAAAACTGCAGTCGATTTGGATTTGCCAACTGTTTCGACCATCTACAAGGTGTACAGTCCGGAAGTAAAACCCTTCACGAAATATTCGCTGAGCAAGATGAATTGATTCGAGAAGCTGCTGAAAGGTATCGGGCAAGTACATCTACCCAGGATCAAAAACTGGACAACCCTCTGACAAAGGCCATGCTATCTGGAGAACATCCATACCCCCAGGGGATACAAGGTGATCCTGATGAATGTATCAATCTGAAACTCTGGATGGAGAACTGCATTCGCTATGGGTTCACAAATTGTGACGATATGCTCCAAGGGGTTCAAACTGGGAGAAAAACTCTATCGCAAGTGTTTGAGGAACAAGAGCAGGAAATACGGAAAGTGGCAGAGCATTATCGCAACATCTCCTCTGGGTCAGGATCTTCTGGGTCTGATCCCAAGCAGGTGGGTAGCTCAGAATCATCACCCCAGGGTGGGCCCCAGGGTAATACCCCTCCCCCAGAAAAAGAACTTTCAGCAGGTGCTAAGCTTAAGAGAGCGGTAAAGGAGTATGGGTCGACAGTTATTGTGTTCCATGTCAGCATTTCTCTGATGTCTCTAGGGGGCTTCTATTTAGCGGTGTCCAGGTATTGTTTTGTTAATTTTGTACTCCCAGTATGATAAGGGACCCGGGTGAATTTTGTTAATTGGGTGTTGTAAATTAATAAGTGTAATAAGTGCATGTATGTAGATTAACCGTATAAAAAAGCAACTCTCTTCTTTGGACAAGTGGGACTTTCCTCTTACTTCAAACCCCTCCTCTTCATATCTTTAGCTAAAATCGATATACACTGTACTAGTTTTTTATTATATAACTGTCATATTCTCCACTCTTTCATTGGTCTATACATTACATGTGATACAAAAATAAGAAGACATATTCAACAGCTATGCCTGTGACATCTGAAAAAATCTGATTGTTCTTAAATAAGTCATTCCGAACAGTAAGAGAGTGGTGAATATAACACGGAATAATAAAACAAATATTTCATACTATTTTTGGTGAATACCTGTAACCTGTTGCACTTTCACTGATTCTGTAAGGTCTTAATTCCCCTAGCCTTTTGGGCTGGGGAATACACCAAGTGCTAGAATCATAAAAGATGAACAGGTATTCACTTCAATAACAAATTCCAAAAACTAATATCTTTGGTCTATTTTCCATCCAATTCTCAATAGTAACAATTTGTACAGCTGTACACTACTCTTCCAGGTCAGTATCATTGACCTTTCACCAATGGTGGTGGGCTATCATCAATACCTCACATGATATTCTTTAAAAAATACTATTTATTGTTCATTCAATTTAAGTCACGAATTGGAAACATAATGTTATATTCTATAAAGTGGGATTTTCATCATTTTTTGTGACCATACTGCCTTGAAAAGTGGTCTGGTTAAAATACAAGCTGGTGTGTTCCCATACTGATATGGTGTGTTTCTAAACCAGCGTTGGCAAATACTGGCTATTGTCTGATGGATTTACACTAATATTTTTTACAGAAAGTTATTTAAAGGCCCCATATAAGGTTTTAACCACTTTGGCTTACCACTCTATGTGAGACACTCTATGTGAATTTTTTTCCGTCTTATTTCAAAAAGTTAGTTTTTTTTGTTCGAAAAATTGGTGCTCTAAATGATCTAAATATTTGTTTCTAAACTTTTGTTTCTAAAATGGCAGGAAATTCACATAGTTGAACATTTTAAGATAAAGAACTTCTTTTCAGTCGTCATGTTTTTAAAAAATGGCTGAAAAAGTCTCCTTAAGTAGCCCCCCCCCCCCATTAACTATGATCAAACTAATTTTTTTAAACTTTGCACAGGGCCTTTAAGGATACAAAATACATGTATAGAAGGTTCTAAGTCTGTAGAAGACAGATTTCATTTAATCAGTGAATGACTTGCAAAATTAAAGTACTAAGATTAATTATAAAAATGAGGTGATAATGCATTTATTTTGAATTTTAAAGTAATACATTAACTGTTAAAGTTTCAAAGTTATCATACCTATTAACACAGTTTTAGACCTAGTGCAGCTGTAGCATGTATCAATCATGCTCCAGCTTCATGATCATTTGTTTACTTTTTTTATGTAGGCGCTTTGTACTTTTAATACTTGTTGAAATACTGTAGACCACTTTTGAAATTTAAAAACTCATCAATGGTTGAAATCATGGCATAATTTCTTGCTGAATAATTATCCCAACGAACCGTTCGTTAGGGATATAGTGAAGCCCTCCGTCCGTCCGTCCGTCCGTCTGTCCGTCTGTCCGTCAGTCAGTCAGTCAGTCCGTCCGTCTGTCCGGAAGATAACTCAAATACTAGTTGACAGATTTTCTTCATATTTAGTGGAAAGATGTATATTGGTGAATAGTTTTACGCAAAAAAAAAAAAAAATGGCCGCCGCTTTAAATATGACGGGACTTTTTCGCAAAAATCATAAATTTTTCATTCTCAACCAAAGTAATTAATATTATTGTTTGAAATTTTGGTAGTGTATTCACAACATTTATCTATTTCACATATATTCCGTGTTTTTCATCCCGACCCCCAGGGGCCATGTATGGGGAGACAGGAAAACAGAAATTTTCGCTTATTTTTAGATCTTTCTGAAGTATAGCTTTATTATACTCAAATGAAAGGCAATTAAGAGTAGATTGCAAATATTGTATCTTTTTTCTGATTCGAGCCTCGTAAAATTCAAAATGGCCGTCTAATGTATGATTACGCAATAATTTTTCGATCCCTTCAAAGTATGGCTATATTATACTCATATTGAAGGAATTTTGGAGTAGATCACAATTATGGTATTATTTTTCAGATTTGTACCTCAGAAAATTCAAAATGGCTGCTTTGCAGGAATTCGCAATTCTAAAATCTAATTTTTTCATTTTCAACCAAAGTAATGAGTATAATTGATTGGAATTCGGTAATTGATATTTTTTTCGTTGGGATTTGCTACTCCGCGGAGTTGTCGTTATCTAGTTTAATTTTGCAATTTTTATTAAAGGTATTTGCAAAATTTAAGTATTTGCATATAAACAAGTAAATTGCATAATCGGCAAATTAAAAACAACATATGAACTCGAGTTAAAGTAGGCCAAGAAATTGAATCAGGTTAACAGGTTAATGGTTATTGATTTTACATGATTTATTATTGTATTGCGTCATTCCTGTAGGGGCCATTTCAATTTTTTGAGGCAAAACGGAATTAATTTCATGTTTGACTTAAAGGTGGGCTTAAACCTGCACATGTCGTTAGAAAGCAATTATTGGTTGTTCCATGGAAACTAATGACTTTTGTACTAATGAATTTTTAATTGATTTTATATCACATGATTCAATCAGCATATTAGTCAAATGAGATGCATTGAATTTCATTTTGGGATAATGAAAAGCTTAAGCTGGCTATGCGGAATAACACCCGTCTGCCACATGGTCAACCTTGGTTCAAATCCTGTGTCACACTTTTTATTTTATTTTTTTTACTAAATGGTTGCGCTTTGATATTTTGCAGAAGAAACACTTATAACTACATGAACAATATAATAAAGCATTAATAATCTTGGCAGTTGTCTGAAAATGTGTCCAAATATTGTGTTGTATGAAAAGTCAACCTTTGAGTTACAAAAATAATAGTTTTGCATAATTTAATTTAAAATACAGCCTTTGATTACAAAAATGCTACTTTTACAGATGATGTTTTAACTCGACCCCTATTAACCTGTAAATGCAGACTACTTTAGGGTATTAATTACCTGTGAAGAATATTTCATAAGTTTGATTAAATGTGGATTGTTATTATTATAGGGAAAGAGGATATAAGGGTCAAATAAGGTGAATGAGGTGGATGTTCATTTGTTCACGACATTTACTCATGTTCTGTAAAGAGAACAGCTGGATTTCACTGACTAAATTGAAGCCATTTTTCATGTAGCAAGACCAGTTTTGTTGGAAAAGCACTGTTCCTTAGAGATAAGATGTCACTAACGTTCTCTTGTCGTATTGGGAGACAATACTTCTACCGTACTGCGAAGATACTGATGGCAGATATCAATGGACAAAAATTGCAATTGCAGGGTTATGCAAGTGACAATGGCAAATCAGACAAAGCTGTACCTTTTGGATTTCAAGCAACATCTAACGGCACAGCATTCGATTTAAGCAGTTCAAAATCCTATGATCAAGCATACTCCGAGCATGGCAACATTTCTCAGCCTATTAATCTCTCATGTTCAACATCATCTCTTGAAGGATATCAAGCAAACACACATGAATTTTCCCCTTCACATCAACAGGATATCTTGAGTAACTCAAATCGGGTTACTTTAAATAGAGAGATCAATGATATGACCCCAGGTGTAGCAGGAGGGGATCAAAGTGACCAACAACAAAATAGTGACTTATATGTTTCGTTGTATGATAGCAAGACATATGTCAGCCTCTATGGAGTTATGCAAAGCAATGTCCCGGAACCGTATCAACCTCCTGAAACTTCAAACCAGGCAGAAACGCATGGTCACGGTGAATCACATCTCCAAATGCCAAGTGGAGGTGTTGTCATGGGGGATAAATTCATGTCCAGCCATCGTATGGACACTCACGCAACCACTCATATTACTAATACTAATCTCAAACGAAAATTCTCTACATCTGTAGTCCACATATCTCCCATCGCTACCCATAATGCAAATATGCAGGTCTGCAGGTTAAAAACCCACAAGGAATACAAGGTGAAGATGGCGCTAGAGAGCTCTGGCAGAGTTCTGCAGAGATTAATATTAATTTTTTAAGTGTAGTGACAAGCATGGTGGTGGGCTATCATCAATACCTCACATGATATTCTTTAAAAAATACTATTTATTGTTCATTCAATTTAAGTCACGAATTGGAAACATAATGTTATATTCTATAAAGTGGGATTTTCATCATTTTTTGTGACCATACTGCCTTGAAAAGTGGTCTGGTTAAAATACAAGCTGGTGTGTTCCCATACTGATATGGTGTGTTTCTAAACCAGCGTTGGCAAATACTGGCTATTGTCTGATGGATTTACACTAATATTTTTTACAGAAAGTTATTTAAAGGCCCCATATAAGGTTTTAACCACTTTGGCTTACCACTCTATGTGAGACACTCTATGTGAATTTTTTTCCGTCTTATTTCAAAAAGTTAGTTTTTTTTGTTCGAAAAATTGGTGCTCTAAATGATCTAAATATTTGTTTCTAAACTTTTGTTTCTAAAATGGCAGGAAATTCACATAGTTGAACATTTTAAGATAAAGAACTTCTTTTCAGTCGTCATGTTTTTAAAAAATGGCTGAAAAAGTCTCCTTAAGTAGCCCCCCCCCCCCCATTAACTATGATCAAACTAATTTTTTTAAACTTTGCACAGGGCCTTTAAGGATACAAAATACATGTATAGAAGGTTCTAAGTCTGTAGAAGACAGATTTCATTTAATCAGTGAATGACTTGCAAAATTAAAGTACTAAGATTAATTATAAAAATGAGGTGATAATGCATTTATTTTGAATTTTAAAGTAATACATTAACTGTTAAAGTTTCAAAGTTATCATACCTATTAACACAGTTTTAGACCTAGTGCAGCTGTAGCATGTATCAATCATGCTCCAGCTTCATGATCATTTGTTTACTTTTTTTATGTAGGCGCTTTGTACTTTTAATACTTGTTGAAATACTGTAGACCACTTTTGAAATTTAAAAACTCATCAATGGTTGAAATCATGGCATAATTTCTTGCTGAATAATTATCCCAACGAACCGTTCGTTAGGGATATAGTGAAGCCCTCCGTCCGTCCGTCCGTCCGTCTGTCCGTCAGTCAGTCAGTCAGTCCGTCCGTCTGTCCGGAAGATAACTCAAATACTAGTTGACAGATTTTCTTCATATTTAGTGGAAAGATGTATATTGGTGAATAGTTTTACGCCAAAAAAAAAAAAGATGGCCGCCGCTTTAAATATGACGGGACTTTTTCGCAAAAATCATAAATTTTTCATTCTCAACCAAAGTAATTAATATTATTGTTTGAAATTTTGGTAGTGTATTCACAACATTTATCTATTTCACATATATTCCGTGTTTTTCATCCCGACCCCCAGGGGCCATGTATGGGGAGACAGGAAAACAGAAATTTTCGCTTATTTTTAGATCTTTCTGAAGTATAGCTTTATTATACTCAAATGAAAGGCAATTAAGAGTAAATTGCAAATATTGTATCTTTTTTCTGATTCGAGCCTCGTAAAATTCAAAATGGCCGTCTAATGTATGATTACGCAATAATTTTTCGATCCCTTCAAAGTATGGCTATATTATACTCATATTGAAGGAATTTTGGAGTAGATCACAATTATGGTATTATTTTTCAGATTTGTACCTCAGAAAATTCAAAATGGCTGCTTTGCAGGAATTCGCAATTCTAAAATCTAATTTTTTCATTTTCAACCAAAGTAATGAGTATAATTGATTGGAATTCGGTAATTGATATTTTGTTCGTTGGGATTTGCTACTCAGCGGAGTTGTCGTTATCTAGTTTAATTTTGCAATTTTTATTAAAGGTATTTGCAAAATTTAAGTATTTGCATATAAACAAGTAAATTGCATAATCGGCAAATTAAAAACAACATATGAACTCGAGTTAAAGTAGGCCAAGAAATTGAATCAGGTTAACAGGTTAATGGTTATTGATTTTACATGATTTATTATTGTATTGCGTCGTTCCTGTAGGGGCCATTTCAATTTTTTGAGGCAAAACGGAATTAATTTCATGTTTGACTTAAAGGTGGGCTTAAACCTGCACATGTCGTTAGAAAGCAATTATTGGTTGTTCCATGGAAACTAATGACTTTTGTACTAATGAATTTTTAATTGATTTTATATCACATGATTCAATCAGCATATTAGTCAAATGAGATGCATTGAATTTCATTTTGGGATAATGAAAAGCTTAAGCTGGCTATGCGGAATAACACCCGTCTGCCACATGGTCAACCTTGGTTCAAATCCTGTGTCACACTTTTTATTTTATTTTTTTTACTAAATGGTTGCGCTTTGATATTTTGCAGAAGAAACACTTATAACTACATGAACAATATAATAAAGCATTAATAATCTTGGCAGTTGTCTGAAAATGTGTCCAAATATTGTGTTGTATGAAAAGTCAACCTTTGAGTTACAAAAATAATAGTTTTGCATAATTTAATTTAAAATACAGCCTTTGATTACAAAAATGCTACTTTTACAGATGATGTTTTAACTCGACCCCTATTAACCTGTAAAGGCAGACTACTTTAGGGTATTAATTACCTGTGAAGAATATTTCATAAGTTTGATTAAATGTGGATTGTTATTATTATAGGGAAAGAGGATATAAGGGTCAAATAAGGTGAATGAGGTGGATGTTCATTTGTTCACGACATTTACTCATGTTCTGTAAAGAGAACAGCTGGATTTCACTGACTAAATTGAAGCCATTTTTCATGTAGCAAGACCAGTTTTGTTGGAAAAGCACTGTTCCTTAGAGATAAGATGTCACTAACGTTCTCTTGTCGTATTGGGAGACAATACTTCTACCGTACTGCGAAGATACTGATGGCAGATATCAATGGACAAAAATTGCAATTGCAGGGTTATGCAAGTGACAATGGCAAATCAGACAAAGCTGTACCTTTTGGATTTCAAGCAACATCTAACGGCACAGCATTCGATTTAAGCAGTTCAAAATCCTATGATCAAGCATACTCCGAGCATGGCAACATTTCTCAGCCTATTAATCTCTCATGTTCAACATCATCTCTTGAAGGATATCAAGCAAACACACATGAATTTTCCCCTTCACATCAACAGGATATCTTGAGTAACTCAAATCGGGTTACTTTAAATAGAGAGATCAATGATATGACCCCAGGTGTAGCAGGAGGGGATCAAAGTGACCAACAACAAAATAGTGACTTATATGTTTCGTTGTATGATAGCAAGACATATGTCAGCCTCTATGGAGTTATGCAAAGCAATGTCCCGGAACCGTATCAACCTCCTGAAACTTCAAACCAGGCAGAAACGCATGGTCACGGTGAATCACATCTCCAAATGCCAAGTGGAGGTGTTGTCATGGGGGATAAATTCATGTCCAGCCATCGTATGGACACTCACGCAACCACTCATATTACTAATACTAATCTCAAACGAAAATTCTCTACATCTGTAGTCCACATATCTCCCATCGCTACCCATAATGCAAATATGCAGGTCTGCAGGTTAAAAACCCACAAGGAATACAAGGTGAAGATGGCGCTAGAGAGCTCTGGCAGAGTTCTGCAGAGATTAATATTAATTTTTTAAGTGTAGTGACAAGCATTTACTTAAATTGATATATCAAAGTTTCAAGATTGTCTTCTTATAAAGATACATGCACATGTAAAGTTCAGTTACAGTATACGGTTAAACATGTCCAAGTGGAGCAATTTCAGTAGCTTATAAAAGTGTTCCACATGTTAGGTGTCCCACTTATAGAGGTTCATTTATCATTAAATCAGTTGATCTAGGGACTCTCAGAAGTGTTCCACTAACAGTGTTCCACTTGTAAAGATGTTTGACTTTACAGGTTTCACTGTAGTAGTATGATGCAGTCATAGCATTTGTCAGTCATGCTCTGGCTTCATGTTCATTTGTTTACAATTTTCCTATTGATCTGTAAATGAGGATATTGTCCCCTGAGAATTATTTCATTAGTTGGATTTAAAAGGGTTTGTTTTTAATCAAGAAAAATATGGATTTGAGGGTTAAATTAGATGAATGTGAAAAATTTATAGGCTTTCATAAAAATAAAAATATTATTTATATTCCTAGATTGAATTTAGAATTTGCAAAAATAATGTTTGATCTATAACCCCTATTAACCTTTAGTGAGGACATCCAGAGAACATTACACGAGTTGGAATAAATAATTTATAAGGCTTATTATTTATTATACAGAAAAGTATAAGCATTTGAAGGTATTCTATAGGAATCTATAATATTATTAAAGGCATAAATTGATCCAATAATGTATTTGACCTTAGAAGTCCTATTGAATTTAATATAGGAGGACAATGACCTCAACTTAACCCTGTGCAGAGGCTAGTTCTTGACTAACCAATTTATAGTTAAAGGCTACATGCAAAGTTCAAAAAAAGTTATAATTATTCATTTTATATTTTTATGACTTGTAGAGATTTTGGAAAAAAATTATTGGCTTTTTATTTTTCAAATATTTTAATCTTTCCGCCATTTTTCAAATAAAAAAGGGGAACTTTTTTAATCATCAAATATTTCACTATACTGTGACAAACACATTATATCTTAAGTGTCACCTTAATGTTTTAGCATATTAAAACAATTTTGCACCCTAAGTGACATCATTGAAACATCACTTGTGGTGCAAACATTTTAAGGAAATTTTTTTTATTATTTCCATGTCAGTCTTTACTAAAGGTACTAAGCTTTCAAAATAAACCAATGTTGATTGTTTAACTAGGTTGAAAAGAAAAATATATTATGTTTTATATATTACTGTACCATTGGTAAACAAAATTTTAAAATGCATTTTCTCTGAACCACTTTCATGCATGGATGAATGCTTACCAACCAATCCATATATACTTTGTGTGATTATACAATATCTCTTATTCTTCCAGCGGGATTGATATGGTCAGCTTTCTACAAAAACTGGGCGTTGGACAATCTATCCTTGAATCAAGGTTAGCAACAGGAACTGGAACATTTGTCGTGGCATACGCTGTACATAAAGTCTTCGCACCAGTCAGGATAGCAACAACATTAACGTGTACTCCACTTATTGTGAGATACTTAAGGAGTAAAGGTATCCTAAAGAAACCAGTGGTGAAAGGATAATGGTGATAATTGAGCAACAGCAATTTCCTAGCTTTGGAATATTAATTTTTTGTGAGGAATTCAGCTGCATCATTTTCCTGATATGACAACTTATAGTAACCTAATTTTGCTGGTAAAATGTAAATAATTGTTACAGGAATTAGAAGAGATGGAGAACATAAAGTTTGGAAGCAATCTTATTGAAGATTTAAGATGCAGAAAGGAGTGGTATCGATATTGAGAACTTTTTGAACACATGTTTCTCTTAAACCAGTCATGAAAAAAATCTAAAAATTTAACATGTCGTCAATTTATTGATCATCTTTATATACTATCATCTATATTGTTTTAGAAAACACATCAAACACTTGTTTTGTTCTTGGTATCATGTTTCCAGAGTGAAATGAAACATCTTTCCGAACCTCATTGGAACAAAACAACATAAACACATCATGTTTAGGTCTCTCAATATTGTAATTGTACAAAGGAAATTTTGGTTGATTTTAAAAAAGTATCTTGTGAATGAAATAAAAGATTTAATCTTGATTTTTATCCATTTTTGGGGATTATGTTTTAATTTTTTGAATACTTTTTTTAAAATCAACCAAAAATTCATTTGTATTACTATGATATTGAGAGGCCTAAAAACATGTTGTGTATGCTATTTTGTTCCAACAAGGTTCGGAAAGACATTTTATTTCATTCTCAAGAATTGGTAGAAAGGAGGAAAAACAATTGAACTAAAAAAAACAAAAATGTTAACAAAAACAGTTATATAATATGTATAAAGAATTTTCGCATTAAATTGTTGTCAATCAGTCAACAATAAAATACAGTGTTTTTTACAGAATGTTTTCAATGATTGGTTAAGAGAAAAACATTGTTGAATTCAGTTCTCCATATCGATACCACTCCTTTCCAAATTCCTAATGGGATATCCATTTTTATGTCCCCACCACATAGTGTTTGATTTATCCACCACATGGTGACCCTATAATTGTTTCTAAAACTTCTAGTTCCTTTAAGTACTCTAAGACTGTGATCAACAGTTCAAGCATTTCTAATCTTGATTGATTAAGGAAACAGAAATATTTTCATCTGGAAATCAGAAAAGTTTTCATCTGGAAATATCGATTCATGAGAATCACAGATACTGCATATGACTGCATGAGAGCATTCCGAGTTGTCAGAGTCTAATAATCTAAAATCTTTTTGAGAAAATAGAGGCTATGAAACTCACAATACAAGAGTGTCTCTGCAACTATTTGTCTCATCAACCTACATGTATATAGTACAGTATTGTAACACAGTAACATGTTTTATTTGGTGGCAGTTTTTGGTGAATTTTCAGTGTTTTACCATCACGATGAATTTTGATGGTTGATGGTGTTAATCATTCAGTAGGTGCTAATGGAATGTGGAAACCATGATTCATTTCAATAATGTGAATTCTCTTTTTGTTATTTTACACCTAATGCAATATGCCAAATGAGATGCCAATGGTTCTGATATGCAGAAAGGTCTGATTAAGTAGGGCTAAATTAATGATAAAAAATATAATAAAATAATTGAAAACATATCGCAACATTGTGAACTGTCTGAACAGTGAGAAATTGAAGAAAAGTGATAAAATAGATGTGTATGCTGCCCACATTTAATTAATTGTTATACATGTTATATATCTAAGTTGCACTGGCAAATCCAAAAGCTAACAACGGGGGGGGGGGGGGGGGGCAAATTTCGAGACAGGAAAAAGATTTTGGGCCCCTTAACCAAAAGTTGGGCCCAAAATTTTGAAAATTCAAGGCCCATTTTTAGATAATTTAGCCAAAAAAGGCCAAATTATGCCCAGTCCAAAAAAGGCCCATTTTTGAGGCCCTACAACATATTTGGGCCCAAATATTTTTGTGCCCCCCCCCCCTCCCCCTGGATCCGTCAGTGAGTTGCATAGCAATTAAAAACAAACCCTTGACCAAATGTATATATAGAGATTATCCTATATGAGGTTCAGGATATTGGGATTATCCCAAGGCCAATATAATATATCTGCCCGAGGGTAGATATATTATATTGGCCAAGGGATAATCCAAATATCCTGAACCGACTATAGGATGATCTGTTTATCCCATACCAATCACATTGTTCAATTTGCCAAAGTTCAGAAACTTTGCAACCAACCGTGGAATATTCTTAAAATATTCATGTCCAGTTTTGTATTCCTGTTTCTTTTCCTATTCAAATCTTTGATTATTAACGCCGGTACACTGCTCCTTCCCTTCTTTAAAGCATCAAACAGGTCGAGATTGTCTGCGTTTTTCTCCATTGTCGTTTGCAGTATGCGAACGTTACAAAAAAGAACCAATACGGGAACAGCGATTATGACGTAGCGGGCAGATATAGTATATCTGCCCGCTCAGAGCGGGACGTAAAGCTATATCTGCCCGCTGATGAAAATATAAGTTTTTACAAACCGGCTTTATGTACCCGTAACACGTCCAAGTATGGGATAAAAGTAGTTACAGCTTTTGCCAAGGGGATTCGCTTTCAAAAAAGCAAGCATTCTATTTCCATTCATGGATTATTTTGTTCGAATGAAGGCATTTATACATGCCATATTGTTGTGTTATTTATAATCTAAAAATGATGTTTCAATAAGTCTTTCACATTATATATACTGGCAGATCCAGAAGCCAACAGGGGGGGGGGCATAATTGCGCACCTCTAAAATTAAAAAAAATTGAGGCCCATCTTTTGATAATTCGGCCTAAAAAGGCCCAAAAGTTGAAGTAATGCCCAAAAAGGCCTACTGATTAGGCCCTACAAAATATATTGGCCAAAAACTTTCTGGGACCTCCCAAGTGGGGGGGAGGGGGCATGCCCCCTTCCCCTGGATCCGCCAGTGCATACCTAATTTAGACTGAGTCATTTGTGATGTTGAGTTATTTTGAGTTCAATTCTACTCAGGGGCAAATTATAATAATAATAAAAAGGAAATTATGTAAATAGTTGTGTACTTCTTTCTTAGACTATAATTGGAATGAAAATATTCAGACTATACCCCACATATGTTAAAATCTGGGATTGAAAAATATTTGTTTACATAGAAAGTGCCATTCAAAATGGCCGGTGGAGTATATTAATTTGCATATTTGTTACTTCACCTAGCTTTATTTCCATTTGACAACATGCTGTGTTACTTTTTATAGCATGAAATTGTACCTTCTTAATTGAATTGTTAAAATGTTTATATTTGGGAAGTGAATTTGTGCACAAAATTTCCTGTTTTCCCACAGGATGGACATTTATCTCGTTCCAAGACTATCTCTACGTATAGTCCTGGCACGGGATAAGATGGACATGATGATCAATAGACTGAATTCTCAAGATATGTGATCTCTTTTTATAAATTCGATGGATAAAATTTGTATCCATGAAATATATTCAAATAACTTTTCAATGGTAAATCAAAAATGGTATACTGTAAAACTTTCATTTAATCATCTGTAATCAGTTGAAAAAATATTTTATGTATATAAAGATAATCATGAAATAAAAAAAATGAAATTGAAACTGACACAGCTTTGCTCCTTGTTTTTGCAGTATTATATCGGATCCTGACAGGTTTATTGAACAATACAGGTTTTATTTAGATTTCAAATTCTGAGGAATGGTATCGATATGGAGAACTTTTTGAACACACGTTTTTCTTAAACCAATCATGAAAAAAAATCTAAAAATGTAACACATCGTCAATTTAATGGTTACTTTTGAATAGTAACAATATAATTTGAAAAATATATATGTACTTTCATCTATATTGTTTTAGAAAACACATCAAACACTCGTTTTGTTCTCGTTATCACGTTTCCAGAGTGAAATGAAACATCTTTCCGAACCTCATTGGAACAAAGCGACATATATGTACATGTATGTATGTATTTATTTATTTAAGTGTCACGCCAATATATAAGATTACATATTATTAAAAACTACATAAAATCACTGGCCCTGCCGGTGTCGGCATATGAGACACTATGGTGTACAATAATCACTTTTAAGACCAAAGTTTTTAAACAAGTTAAAATGATCGTCTTTTAATACATAGTTTAATAATTGTCTTTCCCAAACGACGTTGAAGGAGCTCACAGTTCATTATCAAACAATATTTTGCAAGGTTAGATGTTTCAAAGTCATCGCCAAATATTGTCCTTGCACTATCCATAAGCTCATTCCTCTCGAGCTGGTATAAAGGGCATTCTATCAGAAAATGCAGTTCTGTTTCGACAGCGTTACCGCAATGACAGAGGCGCTCCTCAAGAGGCATATTGATATAACCGCCCGTTTCTAATTTTAACGGTAAAGTGCCACTTCGTAGTTGAGCGATGGCACGTCTTTCATGGCGGGTGAGGTTAGCATTCACATAAGCCTCAGGGCCAATGGCATGGGATTTATGAATTCTGTACAACCTCAATTTATTGTCGTTAATGTTCCTACCTTCATTCCACATTTGTTGGTGCCATATTACATGATCATTTTTCAGTAATGTCTTGTGTAGATCATTCAGTTCCTCCTTTGTATTTATAACTTCATCTGTAATTGTAATTGTACAAAGGTCATTTTGGTTGATTTTAAAAAAGTATCTTGTTAATGAAATAAAAGGTTTATCTTGATTTTTATCTATTTTAGGGGATTTTGTTTTAATTTTTTGAATACTTTTTTAAAATCATCCAAAAATTCCTTTGTATTTCTATACAAAGGAATGGTTCCTCTAATTGATAATTTCGCGCAAAAAAATGTCACTGCAATTTCCACAGGAAAGTAGTACATCATAACAGACTGACTTCTAGTCAGTCTGTTGGATACATACTACACTGCGCCTATTCATTTGGCAATTCAGTTGTAAATTTTCTCTTGAAAAAATAAATCTTCCGTTGAGTTTTCTTGCAGAAATCGCCTAATCCCCCCTCTATCCATTTTGTACAATCACCGGGCGTGTCAATACTGAGTTACACAGGAATCTGATTAATAAATGAAAATGTTGTAGCATCACTGAAGCTTATGACTTACAAGACAGTAGTAAACCTATTAGGAGCAAATATATTTTAACGGCCTGTAATTCTCAGATTTCTAGTCTTGCATCAATCCTCTTGCCCCCCCCCCCATACCAACCATTTCATCTACCTCACATGTAGAGGCGAGGCATGTATTGGGAGTCAAAGCGCCTGAAGCGATCCATACATTCAAGCCATCCCGGAAATTCAGTTAGGGCTAATTCATCTATTTTTCTTCTGCAGCTACAACATTTTTTGCAACAGCGTAAACTTCCCTCTGTAACAGCGGCAACTTTCCTCTGCATCAGCGTTAACTCTGGACAAAGTATCAGAATATTTTGTCCGAGTAAAAAATGAAGTTTGTGAATTTTGCCATTTTGCCTCTTCGTCTAATGGAGAAAAAATAAGTATTAATATCTGATATTATTCTGTTATTCTGGCATAGATTGTGTCACCAAAATGAGGAGCAGTCAAATTATGATCCAATTAGATTCAGGAGGAAATTGATGTTAATGTTGATTTCTAGTTGTAGGTGTCATTTATTGTCTAAATATTTTATAACTTGAACAGCAGGAATATTTTGATGCCTAAATGTCAGTTTAACAATCACTCCACCTTTGGTCCAGTCATACCTGTATTTGACAGTAACACATGGGTCAAATGAGAAGTTTTTAGACATCTTGTGCCAGTTTAGAAAAAAAGTCAGTTAAGCCAAGGGAGACATGTCTTGCTTCTGGTGATAACTACATACAGGGTGTTCCAAAAGTAACAGGACTGGTGCTGGCATTTTGTTAAATATGCACCAATCGTCTTCAAAATTTTACATAATGTACTTTCATGTATCGTTACTAAGACTGCAAAGTTTCTACAAAATATATGAAACTCGGGTAGAGTTATGGTTGCTATAGTAACATGACATCACAATACCCGGGGCAACATTCCACGTAAAAAGTTACAGAGACATTAAGCATTTTGTACATGCCATATCATTTTGTACATGCCATATCAAAGTTAAAATGCAACAACTGGTGGGAATTACATTTGTTTTACATCATTCGATATTCCTTTGTATCCTCTACTTTGAAAAATAGGCTCCTCTTTGATCAGTACAAGAGTAGTACTCTGTATCCATGACCCAAACACATGAGTGAACCCATTTGAGGGCATGTCACGCAGGGTCGATTGGACAATTTGGAGAAAGTCATTCTCATCTTTAAAGGTCTTACAGCATTGATTAGCATCCCGTCCTTAATATAAGTAAAAATTAGATATTGCATGATCAGAGGAGTATGGTGCATGGTTTTAGACCTCAAGACCTATAGTTCTTCTATAGCTGCATGGTCTTTAATGGCGACTTGCTGGCAGGCGCGCTATCAAGGTAGATGACTGGCTTCAAATTGGGTCTTTTCAAAAACTCAACCGTGAATTGTTCAGACTGTTATACATAGTGATATTCCAGGAAATTGAATACATGTTATTATCATTATGAAATTATACTTGAATCTGAGTTGTATAGCAACACCTTTACAACAAAGGAACTCATAAAATAAACAAGAAATGTTGTATTATAATAGGTGAATTAGATACTTTCTTGAGTAATACAAAAATGTTAGATATCATATTTTCAGGAGAAAAGTTACCCCGGGTATTGGAATGTCATGTTACTATAGCAACCATAACTCTAACCGCATTTCATCATTTTTTCTGAAACTTTGTAATTAAAGTTGCAATACTTCAAAGTACAATCTGTGAAAATTTGAAGATACTCAGTGCAAAATTGACGAAATGCCAGCACCAGTCCTGTTACTTTTGGAACACCCTGTACGTTTTAATTGATGGGAATTGTGTTGAGACCAATGTTATTCTCTGCTGAACCAAATATAGAATTCAATGAAAGCTTGATATGCTGTCAAACACAAAGTTAGTATATTTTATTTAAACCATACACCAACATAGCAAAGAAGTCCTACATACTACCAGACCGAAGACATGTACATGTATATTATATTCGATAAACACATCAATTGAATGAAATTACTTTAAAACAGGTATATTTTGGCACACTTCTCACTTTCCAATTGCAAAACCATCAAACTGTATCAAACACATCCCCTCAAAATTTGAAAATCACCTATTCCAAGAAGCCAAAATTACATGTTTTACAGTACAGTCAATTTACTTGCTATTATATCTCAATAAGTCCTTTCTTGTTTGAGATAAGATGCTCCGTGCATTGAACAGATATAGGATATCATGTAGAACCCTATTACACCTACACCAAATGATTATATTACTATGTACGAATGTATCTCAATAAGTCCTTTCTTGTTTGAAATAAGATGCTCGTGCATTGAACAGATATAGGATATCATGTAGAACCCTATTACACCTACACCAAATGATTATATTACTATGTAGTATGTACACACATATATCTCAATAAGTCCTTTCTTGTTTGAGATAAGATGCTCCGTGCATTGAACAGATATAGGATATCATGTAGAACCCTATAACACCTACACCAAATGATTATATTACTATGTACGAATGTATCTCAATAAGTCCTTTCTTGTTTGAGATAAGATGCTCCGTGCATTGAACAGATATAGGATATCATGTAGATGTGTTACCCTATAACACCTACACCAAATGATTATATTACTATGTACGAATGTATCTCAAGAAGTCCTTTCTTGTTTGAGATAAGATGCTCCAAGCATTGATCAGATTTAGGATATTATGTAAACTCGATTGATTATACTACTTTGTACAGTTAGATGTATATATCTCAATAAGTCCTTTTTTGTTTGAGATAAGATGTTCTGTGTATTGAAAAGATTAGAATATCATGGAGACTGATAGATTATATAACTACGAGATGTACAGTTATACGTCTCATATTGGTTCTTTCTTCTTTGAGATTTCATCAAATAATATGTCAATAAGTCGTTTTTCCTTTAAATAAAGCTCTCTGAGCATACAAGGGAGGCCTGGGAGATATCATGAACATTTAATTTTTGTACTTGATAAAACTCACAAGGATTATCCTTTCGCTATGCTGATTTAATTAAAATATTTACAATTAGGCTATATCTCAATAAGTCATTTTTTCCTTGAGATAAATTACTTCATCATCCATAATATCTCAATACGTCATTTCTTGTTTGAGATAACAGCATATCCTATACATTCAAGATACAGGATAAAAGTCATTCACTCCTTTCTGTGCTATATCCTATGCTTTTAACATAGGATAACAATGGATGAATATTCTTCATTTCGTTTTATTCTTAGATCAATATTGATGGCCATAATTAGTAGCTCCATACTGTGAGTAGTTTGTCCCATAAGTGTTTTGAGGGGTGGTAATGTAACTAGACTCATCGATATTGATGGCCATAATTAGTAGCTCCATACTGAGAATAATTTGTTCCATAAGTGTTTTGAGGGGTGGTAATGTAACTAGATTCATCAGTATTGATGGCCATAATTAGTAGCTCCATACTGAGAATAATTTGTTCCATAAGTGTTCTGGGGGGTGGTAATGTAACTAGACTGGGCAGGGGCCTCTGGGGGAGGGGGAGGAGGTGGGGTGGCCACTGGAATTGAATATCTACTATCTGCCCCATAGCCATAACTCCCTTGAGTCCCATAACTTCCTTGAGTCCCATATACAGATTGGGCACTTGAATTAGCAGGGGTTGAGTACCCAGCTTGATTTCCATAACTTCCTTGAGCACCATAGTTACTAGCGCTAGCTCCGTAGTTGCTAGCACTAGATCCGTAGTTACTAGCACTAGATCCATAGTTACTAGCACTCGATCCATAGTTACTAGCACTCGATCCATAGTTACTAGCATTACCCTGGCTCTTATATCCAGAGGTGTTACCTTTAGCTGATGCATAGTTATTTTGACTTTGCTTGCTGCTCGAAGTTTCATATCCAGTTTTAACTCCCGAATAGCTTGACTGGGAAGAGGTTGTAGTGCTAGATACCTTTGGAATGGTAAATCCACCGATGGGTTTAGAGCTGGGTGTTGCTCCTAAATTACTACTAGATTGTTTTTGCGGTAGGGATTTGTAGGTCTCGGCTGTTGATGATCCGGATTTCACCCATTTGTTTGAAACGACAGGCTGTCCCGGTTGACGAGTGAACTGAGTCTTTTGGATCTTGGGACGATTATCAGGTACCTTGCCGGTAGCTGCGTCTGGTTTGACAACCTGAAAGCCTTGCACTTCATGCACTTGTCTGTGGTTGTAATACTTTTTACCACCTTGTTGATTTCCCCATTTATTTTGATGTTGCCCAGTGGCAGCTCTGGCAGAGGCTGCTGTTCCTTGTATACCCTTTGCGCTAAGTTTCTCTCTAGCATTACCACCTAATCCAGTTACTGCATCGCTTTGCCAGATAGCCTTCAGTGCGGGATTTGCAGTGTTTTCCTTGGATGGCGGGGGTGCACTTGATTTGGCAGTTGATTTCACTGTTGTAAAACCACCAATGTTCGTATTCCGCTCTTGGATCCTACCACGTTCACTGACAATCATTGGGGCCTCCATTAGGGTATACATGTTTGATTTTCCACCGTGGCGTCTCAACATGTTCACCAATTCAATTGATGTGAACTTACGCCTGGCTCTTAAAAAACATCTGAACTGACCGTGTCCTACTTTGAAAGTCTTTGTACTTGCTTTAAGTCCTACATTTGTAAGAATACGATGAATAATTTGACGTTCTTCTTTCCCAAATTCATCACAGAACACCAAATCATCTGGGTTATCAGAATGGATGTAATTCTTCGCGATAAGTTCTACTTTCTCACGGAAACTATCGGTGATAACACGTCGCTTCCCAAAGGCGAACTCAAATCCATAAACCGAGGTTAAGTCTATGGGTTGGATAGGTTCGACAAGACCACCTCCCCTGCCGAGAGCGCTAACACCGTCCCATCCCCACTTCATCATAATCATAGCTCCAGGACCTTTATTCAACATGTTTGCATCTTTCTTGGGTTCATCCTTTTCTAACCCCCCCATTATGAGTTGAGAGCGTGACATTTTCTCTACCTGCCTCGGATCATTCACCTGAAAGTGACAAAAAATGTGAATTTAGGAATGAGTTGAGAGCGTGACATTTTCTCTACCTGCCTCGGATCATTCACCTGAAAGTGACAAAAAATGTGAATTTAGGAATGAGTTGAGAGCGTGACATTTTCTCTACCTGCCTCAGATCATTCACCTGAAAGTGACAAAAAATGTGAATTTAGGAATGAGTTGAGAGCGTGACATTTTCTCTACCTGCCTCAGATCATTCACCTGAAAGTGACAAAAAATGTGAATTTAGGAATGAGTTGAGAGCGTGACATTTTCTCTACCTGCCTCGGATCATTCACCTGAAAGTGACAAAAAATGTGAATTTAGGAAATAGTTGAGAGCGTGACATTTTCTCTACCTGCCTCGGATCATTCACCTGAAAGTGACAAAAAATGTGAATTTAGGAATGAGTTGAGAGGGTGACATTTTCTCTACCTGCCTCGGATCATTCACCTGAAAGTGACAAAAAATGTGAATTTAGGAAATAGTTGAGAGCGTGACATTTTCTCTACCTGCCTCGGATCATTCACCTGAAAGTGACAAAAAATGTGAATTTAGGAATGAGTTGAGAGCGTGACATTTTCTCTACCTGCCTCGGATCATTCACGTGAAAGTGACAAAAAATGTGAATTTAGGAATGAGTTTTTTGAGAAGCAAGCTGACATTGTTAAAATCCAGAAACTATGTAATTTGTGTTTTGAAATCATGACCCTGAAAATATAGCACAACTTGCACAGTTCCAAATATAAAATAATCCTTTCACATTATATGAAAATCCTATGGCATTAAATTGAGGGTACAGTATTTTCATATCTTTAATTTGATGAGAGTTCCACCATTAGGCAGCATTTTTTGTTAAATGAATAATTGTATTAACAGTATATGCATAAGACACCAAAACGTCAACCAAAAAGCTTTAGTGGTTGCAATTTTGGAAAAACACTGACCTGTACACGTCTTTTCACCAAATATGAAAAATCTTTTTTTTTGAGAAATCACAATTTCGCTCAAATTAAATTTTGCATATTTCACAAGTTTGAATTTCATTATTCTCTGAATTTTCAAGTTTTGTAAATCTAAGATACCCTCGACCACCTGATTTGGGAAAAATCAGGATTATTTTCCGGAAAATTAGCAGAGCATCAGATTTCTTTTACAATTTTGGACAAGCTTTACTACTGCTATAGATTTTGTCCAAATGTTGCTAATTCTGTACTAATACTGTACCAATTTTCTATTAATTTTGAACAAATGTAATGTACATGTGTTTCTAAATTAGCAGTAATATATTGCCAAATTGGCATAACTAGCAAAAGTATTTTGGCAATATAGCTACACATTTTGACATGACCCACATCACTTGCTGTTGGATACAGGTTGACAGAACTTACAATGACTTTTGTGCAGACTTGTTCACAGTACGCCAAAGCCTTTTCTCCAGCAAGCTGTTTAGCGATTTTCTTCTCATTGGCTGTGGCCTCTCCGAGAATATGCTTTTCTATTGCTACTTGGCACCTGGTGGAAAATACACATGTAAAGGTTCAATTTATGATAATGAAAAATATTCGATAGATCCCTCATTTTCATTCAAGACTATATTCAAATTGAAAAACAAGAAACAGCAACTCGGCAAATCTACAAACCTCAAGGAACAATATATAATTTTTGAAACATTAAAGCATATTTATCTCTTAACAATTCACGATTTATTCTTTAATATCCAAAAAGAAAGTTATGTTGTTTTGTTTTTCCCAATGTCACTATTTGTGCTTTTCATTATTGTAGAATGTTGATCAAGTATCAACTATTGATTGACCTCCCCATTCATGCAGTACAAATGTTAGTTTGAAAGTTGCAGCCACTTTTAAATCAATTTGCACCTACATGAAAATGACACAAGGCAGCAACATGCAAAATGTCACCACCTGCCATTTGTTACAGATGTTGACCATTGAATGCCAAACACCGAACACAATCCACAAAAAGACCATATGTCGCCGATTCTGGTGGTGCCATAAAAATCAACAAAAAAAGTATCCAACCAAAATTGTAGAAAGAGGGAAAAATCACGAATTACCATGTAAATGGGCATGTTTGGCTATGTTCATTTTTTCTTTTGAGGACCACTGGCGATATTCACCAGGTTTGTACATTTTTGTGAGATCATCCTTTACATTTTGCACCTCGATCGATGCTGCTACTATACCGCGCTTTTCCTTTCTAGTTTTTCCCAGAGTATTAATGAGTGACTGACCAGTTCTGCAGCCAATTTATGAGAGATATTTTTTCATATTTTTGGAAAAAACTAAACAGGAAGTGACCTAAATACACTGGACGAAATACCCTAGATAATTCTCGGGAATTCATTCTAAATTTTGGCGAAGATTTATATTGGCGAATGTTTCAATTTCGCAAAATTCGCCAAATTAAAGCGGGCGCCAAATTAACCCAACCTACAGTAAGTAATAATATATGACTCACGTGACTCTAAATTCTTCAGCTCCTTCTTCATTCTCATTTTCAACATAGAAACGTGTGTATTTCCATTCTAGGAGCATCTTGCTGAAGTCTGCACTCTGCTGAAGTAGACTATGGCCACCACTGCCACCTGTTGATTTTAATACAGAGCGAGTTCAAAATACAGTAAAACCATCTATATTAAGTGGAACACCTTTGGTACCACTAAAAAGTGCTCCAAGTGGGAGGTGTTCCGCTTATGCTCACCTAACCCTCAAACAATTAGCGGTTCAGATAAATACTTTTTGATAACTTTTTTCCAACCATGTCTTTTGATCTGAAACTTTCTGGCTTTTCTTAAAATTGAATTAGGCATGTTTTAGTGAAAGAATTGTGACTCTAACTACCCTAGGCTGGTCAAAGTAAACTACCCAAATTGTCAGTAGTTTTGACCTGAAACAATAAACCCCTTTGTTCTTAGAATATACATTTCTTTGTCATTAATGGCTCAATTTGGCTCAATTTGAGGCAAAATACTGGGAATTGAATAACCTTTCCAATGATTTATAATACATCCTCCTGATGATTGAGAGATCATAGGGGGGGGGGGCAAATCTGCATATAAGATTGCCTCAAATGAAGATCACTTTTGAGATGTTCTTAAACTATATTTCACACATAGCTAGGTGAGATGTGTCAGATTCCAGCCAATCTGAAAACATTATTTCATATAACTGCACTGCATTATATAACCAACAACCCACCCAATGTCATTTGTTGAATGGTTGTCAATGTTACAACTTGACTCTACAGATTGAAACTGATACTTTGCAAACTTGACCCTTGCAAAAAGTTTCATTGATAATATGTTCCTCTTGAGATTGCGTATCTTTTGGCTGATTTGTAGGAAAATATTTTGCACTAGTATGAAAAGAATTTAAGCCCGGGACTCAATGTATTGTGGCTAATTCATTCCGCTCGGGTGTTGTTTCCTAAACTTAGCACTCAATTCTGTGAATATCGTCCAGAGTTTGAAATAACATCTTCAAGGAATGATATCAGTCGACGTACATAGTCTAGGGCTTAAATCCTTAAATAACTTACACTTCAAGTCCTTGTTTTCCAGGATAACAAGCTCATGCCATGGTCTCTTTGGTCTCTTTCCTAGCACTGCTGCATTAGTTTCAATACTATTAGACTCTGAAAGTCAGATTTCATGACATTATCAAAATATGCAATTTAAATATTTACAAGTTTTTATAAAACTCCAAACATTATTCCAACTCAATTTCCGCAAATACAGGAATTGTTTTTATGACTTGGATTCCTTTTTTGATATTCTTTCCAATTATTACAAGGAATTTGAGAGTCGACTAAGTTGTACTTAAAATGTAGAAACAAACAATTACTTGAAAATCGTTGCAAATGGTTAGACAAGGCATTAACATGACAAAATGTCATCACCTAGTTGCTCACGATATTATAAGTTCAAAAAGTCAGATTTGAATTTCTGAGAACTCTGTAGATGATTTTGAAAAAATGGTCAATTTGAAAGAAGCAAGTTTTTTTACCCTGAGAAGGTAATTGAAGGTGAAATCTCAAATCTAAAATCAGATGTGGACTTCTGAGAACTTGTAGATGATTTTGAAAAAAAGAATTGGTCAATTTGAAGTCCGTCTAAACAGTATTTTTCAAGTTATTGGAAGGTGTAAGAAATTGTTACAGACACTGATGGTCAACCGCCAACCACCAACTGCCAATTGCCGTCACAAAAAATGGAGACCATAACAACATCAAAACTTTAAAACTTGTAGCACTAAATGTTAATAATAAAGGACCTACGGTCCTGTGCTCACACAGTGTTTTGTGCAGCCAATGATGATTGACTTTATACATGAGACAGTTCCCTGAAAATGTCAAATTTTATAGAGTAAACACCAAAAAATTTAATTTCAAGAGCTTTGAAATCTTCAGAGAACGTAAGTTGCATATACAGCAGTTATTTGAAAGTTCTACTTCAACAAAGTGCCTAGTATTTACAGAAAATTTGACTTTTTGACGTCAAAATCAGCAATTTCTCGGAAACCGGGCAAACTTGGGAAATGGCGATGATAGGTCAAATAGGCATTATGGATATGCATAAAATGAATGTGGATATGACTCAATCTGAACAGCAGTTTTAATTTGTGCGGCCAATGTTGACGGACGGACCAACGGACGGACCAATGGACGGACGGATGCCTGGTTGATCCCGTAGGCTCACTATGTGAGCCAAAAACAAGCCACAAAAATGGAGGTCATTGTGAGTGCATCACTTACTTGAGGCACTATTAAACGTGCTTATTGCATTTTCTGTATCCTCTGGTTGGAGTCTAGCATGGGTTATCAACAAGGCCTTTGTATTTGTTTTTTCATTCATCAGCATCTCCTCAGTACGAGCATATGCAATTGATTTGGCCATACGTTTGGAAGGACCATCTGCGTTGACAATGAACACATCTCCAATAAACAGCTTACACGTGAATCGCTGAATATTGTTAACTCGCCCAGCTGAATCAAGGATGAGGGTCACCTGTGAAGAAAGTCAATTGAGTACTGGAGGAAAGGTCAGAGATTATACATCATGCTTACATTTAAAAATGTAGTTATTCAAAGTTCTAGCTTTCTCAAAGGGGTTCTCTAATTTATTTTTGTGAGGGCAGGTGGCATAATTTACCCTCCATTTCAATTTACTTTAAGTTCACCACATACCTCTAGTCCTGAAGTGCTTGTACAACTGTGCAATCTGGGTATTTTTCCAAGGGGTTCTTCTCCAGGCTGGGGTTTTGGTTCGCCATCTTTCAACAGCTGACGTAGCTTTTCAAATTTCTCGACCAATTCTGTGTCAAGTTTGTAGATCTTCTTTGGAACATGTTGAAGGTTTTTGTTACGATACTTTGGATCCTCATGATCGTCATAGTAATCCTTTTTCCAATCAGGTCTCATCGGTGCTCTCGGAGCAACAATGTCATCATCATTAATGGGCATTACCATATTTGCACTTACATTTTCATCCATGTAAGCATCTTGATCACCTGGAGCCTGGCGTATGTTTGGCTGTTCTGGGCCAATAAAGTTAGACTTTGTTCCCTCTTCTGTAACCTCCATTGGCTCATTAGCATAGTCAGTTTCATCATCATGTAGCTTAGCTCGGTCTTTGCTAACCAGTGAGCCACCACCCACAAAATAACCACTGTAGAATGGCACATTGTACTCATCAGATTTAGGATCAGGCACATCAATATTCATTGGCTCATCACCCTCTTTATCTTTATTTGCTCCAAGTCCAGGTAGAGTTCTCCTGGGTTTTAGCCCCATGGCAGCTCTTTCCTCTATGGATAGTCCAACTGTCTCGGTCTTTTTGCTGTCTTCTGTAGTTTCATTATTTTCATCCTCCTGACCAATTTCTTTCAAAGCCTGCTCTTTAGCTGCTTTCAACTTTTCACATCTTTCCCGTTTGGCCTTGTCAATATCGAAGTTCAAATTGCCAGCATAGCCAGTGGCCCAACTATATTCAGCCTCCTTTTCATCTACTTCTTTACCTTCCAGTCTCTCGAAAGGCCAATTTGTGATATTCCTGGTTTGATTGTAACGTTGATCATATGGGACTTCTGGGTAAAAAGGCATCATTTGTTGCTGCATGTTATAGTATTGCTGATAACCATAATCATCTTGATAATAATCATAGCCACGTCCTTGCCCATATTGTTGAAATCCCTGTGGTGGTGCCCTCTGATCTCCAATCCAACATTGCCCTGGAAAGGCACCCAATATGGACGACTCTCGTTGCTGCTTTCTCTCTTTCTTTTTCCCATAGTTGCCCCTGGCCTTTTCTACAGTTCTGTTTCCAAAACCCCTCCCAAATCCCATAGGTAAACCCATACTGTCTAATGCATCTTGTTCTGGATCAGGCTCTTCATCATTATCATCATCATTGTGCTTGTCCTCCTTGTCTTTCAAAGGTAGTCTATCTTGAAATTCATATGTATTAGGTTCGTTCATTGATGTCTGGCCATATGTTACGCTATCCAGCTTGTTTTGAAATTCTTGTCTAGATAAGATCATGTCTCTTTGGAGACCAGTCTGAATGTCATTTGGGAAATTTGGAAATCTCCCTTGGTTACTCATCATTCCTCTGTGACCTCTCATGAATCCTCCATGATATCCCATCATTCCCCCTCGATTTCCCATCATTCCACCACGATAACCCAGATTTTGCATCATACCACCATGATTCCCCATCATTCCTCCCCAATTCCCCCTCATTTCTCCACGGTTCTCCATTCTTTCCTCAATTTCTATTTCATCACTAAAACCTGGTTTTCGCTTTTTTGGAGTTTTGTTTTTTTCACTTTCACTTGTTTTGGAGAGTTTCTCCTTTTCAGTTTGATGTCCAAATCCTCTCCCAAAACCCATTGGTAAGCCCATTGTGTCCAAAGCATCCTGGAGTTCAGAGTCAGCCTGATTGTCTGGTTTCACAGACTGATCAACATTATCAGATGATTTCTCGTTGTTATCATCAGCTCCAGTTTCATCATCTGGAACACTCCCTTGATTTGACTTAGATGTCAACTGTTTCACATTGGTCTCCATTTCCTGTCTCTTTTTCTTCACCTCTAGCTCCATGGCTGCAACCTGAATTTGTTTCTGCTTTATAGCCAAAGCCTGTTCTTTTAGTTCAAGTTGTTTTTTCTGCCTGATCACATCAGCCTGTGGGGTTTGACCCATCGCAACATTCTGCTGCATCATCTGTTGTCTCTGCATCATCTGCCTTCGTTCCATTTGCATCCTTTGCTCAGGTGGAATATTTGAGAGCATTCTAGCTTGTTTTTCTCGCATCATTTGGTTCTGTCTTTGAAGCTCCATAATTTCTGCATCCTTGGAGGATTGAGACCCACCCCCTTGTGCACCAGATTCACCATGAGAAGCCATCTGGAAAATATGAAATTGTTACATCATACAATATTCTAGATGTATTATCTTTTCATAGCAGGAAGGGGGGGGGGGGATTATCAAGTTTTTGGGTTTTTGCACTCTGTAGCTACTAGTTATAAGATCATTTAATATTATTGCAGGAATAAACAAGAATTGTTTTTTGTTAGTATAAATCACAATTCAAAAGTTATTAAATGCTGGGGAGCTCACTGAAGCCTATTGATAAATTTTTAGTCAAAACAAACTGTCTTAAAAATTGAGAAATCAAACCTCGTGTATGATAACAAAACAATTCTAGTAACTGTCATATCAGGTCACGGTCATATCAGGGTGTGAGTACTGAGTTCCGTAATCCAACACAAAATTCCGAAATTCTGAACATTACTTTGCACATATGGTGTTCGTGACCAACAATGAAACACTTACAGTGTATGCCCTAAGGATTCCAGAGCTGCTGGTCAAAAAGGCATTACTGACCAGTTGCAATGTTATTTTCCTATACCTAGTGAAAAAATCAACTGGTCGGTATCAAAAGTAACCAGATAATGACCAGCTGTCCGACGCTAAAGGCGTGCCCTGAACACTTAAACCCCATAGTGTTATATATCAAAATGAACCTGTTCATATAGGGGTTCGATTGATCTACATCAAATTATAGGGAGTCAGGTTACTTTTTGAGATATCAGCGTCCACTTATTGTAAGTCGCATTTGCTACCATTTGCTCAATTCTGAGATGACGGGCACACGCATAGTAAACATGCTCACGCTGGAACTATTTTGACCTTCATCGCTATTTTCATAATTAAAATGAAAGGTAGACTCCTCCTCTTTATTTTGATACCAAATAATGGCATACTAGGTACCCTAGAAGCCAACTATGGCATTATTTAGAACAAAAGTACAGGTTTTTAAATGGACTGTGTAGGGGTCATACCTTTTGGCGGATGGATATGGAACCTCTGCAATATAATATAGCATTATCATGGTCATATCAGGCTTAAACATTACCACGGTCATGACAGGCCATGCAACATGATATAGTAGTATGTATCCAACAGACCAAATATAATATTCGGTCTGTTATGATTAATACCTTTCGCAAGGAAATCTCAGCGGTATTTTGTGCACATAAATTTTTCGTTTATTACAAGAATGTTCACCTTGAAAATTGTTGAACATGTTGAAGAGACTAAAAGCAAAATTTTTTGCATAACGCGGGTACAAGTTGATATATATAATGGAATGTTTTTGAACTTTGACTTTTAACTTCAAACACATGACCACTTGATACCTCGGCCTTCTTCATGAATATTCCCGCTCTATTTACTGTAAATGACTAAAATCAATCGGGATAATGATAATAAATGACTAATAAATTCCCACACAAATTGAATTTGTAAATATTTCTGTAATGTTGCTCCGTCCGCTCCGCGTGTTATTTGTTTACGAGATATGCAAATTTTTGAACTTTGACTTTTAACTTCAAACACATGACCACTTGATTACCTCGGCCTTCTTCATGAATATTCCCGCTCTATTTACTGTAAATGACTAAAATCAATCGGGATAATGATAATAAATGACTAATAAATTCCCGCACAAATTGAATTTGTAAATATTTCTGTAATGTTGCTCCGTCCGCTCCGAGTGTTATTTGTTTACGAGATATGCAATTTTTGAACTTTGACTTTTAACTTCAAACACATGACCACTTGATTACCTCGGCCTTCTTCATGAATATTCCCGCTCTATTTACTGTAAATGACTAAAATCAATCGGGATAATGATAATAAATGACTAATAAATTCCCACACAAATTGGATTTGTAAATATTTCTGTAATGTTGCTCCGTCCGCTCCGCGTGTTATTTGTTTACGAGATATGCAAATTTTTGAACTTTGACTTTTAACTTCAAACACATGACCACTTGATTACCTCGGCCTTCTTCATGAATATTCCCGCTCTATTTACTGTAAATGACTAAAATCAATCGGGATAATGATAATAAATGACTAATAAATTCCCGCACAAATTGAATTTGTAAATATTTCTGTAATGTTGCTCCTTCCGCTCCGAGTGTTATTTGTTTACGAGATATGCAATTTTTGAACTTTGACTTTTAACTTCAAACACATGACCACTTGATTACCTCGGCCTTCTTCATGAATATTCCCGCTCTATTTACTGTAAATGACTAAAATCAATCGGGATAATGATAATAAATGACTAATAAATTCCCACACAAATTGAATTTGTAAATATTTCTGTAATGTTGCTCCGTCTGCTCCGCGTGTTATTTGTTTACGAGATATGCAAATTATTGAACTTTGACTTTTAACTTCAAACAAATGACCACTTGATTACCTCGGCCTTCTTCATGAATATTCCCGCTCTATTTACTGTAAATGACTAAAATCAATCGGGATAATGATAATAAATGACTAATAAATTCCCGCACAAATTGAATTTGTAAATATTTCTGTAATGTTGCTCCGGCCGCTCCGAGTGTTATTTGTTTACGAGATATGCAATTTTTGAACTTTGACTTTTAACTTCAAACACATGACCACTTGATTACCTCGGCCTTCTTAATGAATATTCCCGCTCTATTTACTATAAATGACTAAAATCAATCTGGATAATGATAATAAATGACTAATAAATTCCTGAACAAATTGAATTTATAACGCTGTTGTAATGTTGCTCCGTCCGCTCCACGTGTTATTTGTTTACAAATAGACTGACGTCACTGGTTAATTCTCGTTGATCGTGAGAGAATTGGAATTGCAAAAATGGATTGACCTAATCAATGCCTCCACTACAAGAAGCGTCTGTATATTTTATGAATATCTTCAGTAAGAGGACAATATACGAATAAAATAATATTGTAAGTTCTTTATAAGGTAATCATTTTATCATGATACAAATTTTTTTGTAACATTTATACAACACCACATTTTACAATAGGTGACTTACAGTCTGAATCTACTCAGACGAAGGATACAGTCTATATGAAGAAGAAGAAGAATGACATAGAATCTGAACACAAATTCTTGGTATAAGTTCATATGGTGAAAATAACGAAATAATGAAATGTTACCGTGTGTCTACTTCGCAGTTTGTTCTATCAGTTCGTACACCTTTTTCAAAATGAATTTCCCTGACAATTCCCTGACATTTCCAGGCAAAAAAGGAAATTTCCAGATCTAATTTTCCTCGCGCGCCCTCTAAAAAGTCTCAAACAACTGTATTATTCAAGACAAAAAGACTTATTATGAAACATTTGGGGTTTCTCCTTCAGTACCATTTCTCATGCCTTAACTACTTGTACAGGCAGTCTTATTCACTAATTTATTCCTGATACATTTTATTTTTAATATTACATATTTTACATTGCATAAGGCCAAAGGTAAACATACATGTACAGGGGCATAGTCAGCAAGTGTCAAGGGGGTGCATTTTTTGAGGTTCGCATCACTGCGAGCGATGGAAAACCAGAAGGGGGGTACGGGGGTTCACCCCCGGAAATTTTTCAAAATTGACAATTGTATATGGTGCATTCTAAGCATTTCAAACTATAATTTGTTAATGTTTTGTAATGAATCCAAATGACAACTGAAACTTTAAAATTATGATCTAAATCCTACTAGAAAAATAGCAACTCACTTGAGGGGCATCATGATATACCATGACATCTCATTTCTTCTCAGCCCTGAGATGTTTCAGGTGAAACAGAAAGATGTTATGAGTATCAGAATGCTTGAGGGGCAATTCCCACCTAATGAAACATATAGTAACTCAAAATTCCCTAGCCTCATGTGGGCCGATGATATAGTACTTTTAGGCAATTCTGAAAATGATCTCAATAAGATGCTCAATGTCACTAATGATTTTGCTATTAAATATGGTTTTAGGTTTAGTGAGAAAAAATCAAAAGTCATGGTTATAGGCAAGAAGATTGATAAGAACAAGTTATGGAAATTAGGTGATCTCAACTGACAAGAAGTCCAAACCTATAAATATTTAGGTATTCATATTGATCGATCCTTGAAAGATAACTACCACATAATTGATCAACAAATTGAAAAGTCAAAGACTCTGAAGAACTTTATTACATTTATACTGAGCAAACATTTAAATGCTAAACGTATTGAATTTGGTAATACGCTTTATTCAACAAAATTCCTCTCGGGGCTGTTACATGGCTGTGGTGTTTGGGTTACGAATACCAAGACCATCCTTGATAGACTCCGGACAATGCAATATGACATGACCAGGGGTATTTTCAATATAAAAAGTACCCCTGCATATGTTGCTATCATTAATGAACTTGGTTGGACACCAATTAAGTACATAGTCCTCAAGCGACAAGTCCAATATTTTCTCCATTTACAGACTCTTGATCAGGGGTCATTCATAAGATTACTACTAACAAGAATGCAAGAACGATTTGCATGTAACAAATCAAATAGTTGGAAATATGTCAAGCACATAAATGATATCTTTAAACTGATTGACCTTAAAGGCATTGACAATAACTTAAATACTTTGATAGAAAATTATGAATCTTCTATTCAGAAGACATGCGACTCTGAGATACAAACTGAAATGAATGGAAAGTCTTCCTTGACACTGTATAGACAGCTTATTGATCTTAAACATAAAGGTTTACAGTACTATTTAAGAAATGATTTTGATTTTGCAAGCGCACAATTAAAATTTCTTGCTCGGACCGGGAAACTAGGTCTTAATGTTGAAACATATAAATGGGCAAATGTACAAGTTAAAAGCCCATTCTGTGATTTTTGCTCTGATAAAGAAGAGAATAAAGAACATAGATTACTATTTTGTTCTAATTTTGTAGGGGAAAGATCCAAATTTTATAAAATACTTGAGGATAAAATTCCCATAAATTTAACAGGGATATTCTTTAGCGCCCCAACTGACACAAAATTGAAATGGTTACTCGGAGATGAGGCATACATCTTTGGGGGGC